AAATATCAGTAAATAGTGAAACAAAAGTTGAGATAGGGACATGTGAGCCGTTTTGACCGATAATGAATATTTTCGACACAAAAAAATCCTAAAGTTGAAAAATATCCATTTTGAACACCCTATATCTCTGTAATCATTTTCGATAGACCCCAAGTATGATATATCGATTAGTTCTTCAGGGAGAATCATAAAATGTGATAAAATACAGGGTGTTCCGTTCGAAATATCAATGTTGCTACTACTTTCTAGTAGAAGCGGCAACACTGCATTGTCGAACATATTTTGAATGAAATGAGCGTATACCAAAATATGAGCATGAACATTTTCATGAATTTCTCCCGACTGATTCTCGATTTAAAAATAGGGTAAGCTCGTGACATACCCTGTATAGGGTAATGGAGTTGAATGAATACAGGGAAATATGAGGAAAAATTGAGAGAATTTCTCTGCACTCACCAGCGTGAAAAAAGTGAGGCTTTGATGAAACAACACGAAACACTAGATCAACACACGATCCCGGTATTATTATTATTGAATCCAATGAGGAATACAAAAACACTATACAGGGTGTATAAAAATAACAACGAAAAAATCCAAGGGCTGTTTCTTTGTGACATTCTAATAAATAAAATTTATATAAACATGTGTCCTAACTTGCTCCGTTTTTGAGATACAGGATGTTGAAGTTGGAAGTATTAATTGTTTTTATTTATAACCCCCCGTATGAGCTATCATGGTACCAAAATTCAGTATGGATGGGGACTGAGGAAGCCCCAGAATTTCAGAATGATTATAATTGGGGTTATTGAGTAATCTCAATGGAAGTCTTGAAAACACCTACTTACATTAAAATTTTGAGTCAAATCGAATTTTCATTGTTTCCTAGAAAAATAAGCTAGATACAAAAATCACACAAGGGATGAAAAAGTTGATATTTCATTAGTTCAATCTACCATGAATATTCATAAATGTACCCACTGTGACGCCACTAAAAATATAATTTCGAATATAATTGCACTAGAAGAAGTTCCATATTACTATCAACAAAACCACAACGTTTTATTGAAATTGATGAAAAGGCAATTGAGAAATGAATAGAAGAAAGATTTTTCATAGAAATATTAATACCCTGTATCTCGAACACGAAGCAAGTTAGGACACATGTTTATATGAACTTTATTTCCTAAAATATCACAAGGAATCACCCCTTGAATTATTAGATACACCCTGTATATATCTCACCAAAATAAGTTGTTTGTCAAAAAATTGATCATATAAAATATTTAAGATAACGAGAGTACATACAGGTATTCAATGGTTTAAAGAAGACTTCAACTATGAAAACATGAAAAACGTAAACACTTTTTCTAGAAAAAAAAGCAGAAAACCCGTTATGAGACCAGCATCAGTTACTCTACAGTTGCACTATTTCATCAGAAACACCAATCAAAAACCGATTTTAACATTTCCAACCGATTAATTATCTTTTTTATATAAGTGAACCAAAAAACGTTATGAGGGAAATGAAGCATCAGGCCAAACAACTTATTTTGGCGAGATATACAGGGTATGTCACGACGAGCTTACACTATCTCTATATCGAGAATTAGTCGGGAGAAATCCATGAAATGATGCAGGCTTATATTTCAGAATACGCTCTCTTCACTTAAAATATTTTCAGAAAGGCAGAATTGCCGCTTCTATGAAAAAGTAGCAACAACTTTGTTATTTCAAATAGAATACCCTGTATTTTACTGCATTTTTAGATGCTCGCTGAAAAGTTGATTTTATTCATACATCACACTTGGGGTATATCGGAAATGATTACAGAGATATATAGGGTGTTCAAAATCGAGATTGTTCAACTTTAGGATTTGTTTGTGTGAAAACTATTTATTATCGGCCAAAACGGCTCACATATCCCTATCACAACTTTTAATTCACTGTTTACTGATATTCAATCGGAACAGAAACACAGTGATCAGAATTCTGAATCTTGAACAACCCTGTGTGCGCTTTACGAGAGCCATTAATTCAACAGAGGCACTGTATACAAACCCTACGTCTGATAAATTTTCAAATCAAACTGTTCATGAAGATTTCGAGAATTGAAAAATATACATTTAGGGTACTGTTACATCTGAAACGAATGTCGTGGACATCATAACTTAAACGTGGATCACCTTGTATATTTGATTGTTCCATTATACATATATGTGGCATAAAAATAAAGTATCCAGTACCTACTTTACGAAAGCATATATAATTGAACAATTGCAAGATACCCAACACGTGATAAATATCTCCATATTCAAATAAAAAAAACACTCACCATTTTGAAATAGATCAACTTGCATCGCCATTTCAGCCACAAAAAACATACACTTCTACACAGACACACACCTTTCTCTCACACACGAATAATGCAGTATGAAGCATTTCGATTCGGCACTGTAAAATAATACAGATTATTTTCAAACCAATTGTATCGTCCGTTCGCGATGAAATCTAATATACGACTGACGATTGACGAATGACAGGTGGCTTACTGATTCATCATCCTGATTACTAATTGTTACGTCACTCTTCTAACCGATTCCTGAACAATAAAATTTTATCTATGACTGAATTTGATACGGCAAAATAGTTCTACAGGTGGTGAAAATAAATTTAATGTGTTCATACGATAAAAAAAATAGAGAAATTATTATTAGTTTTAATCGAGTATACAAGGTGAATCTGAAAGTGAGGTTTCTTTAACAGGATATATGGGGTGTATCTAAATAACACCTAAAAATTCAAGGAGTGTTTCTTTGTGACATTCTAGCAAATGAAGCTCATATAAATAAGTGTCCCTACTTGCGACGTAATTAGATACAGGATGTTGAAGTTGGAAGTATTAATTGTTTTCATTTACAACCTTCCCGTATTAGCTTTTATGGTGCCTAAATTCATGATGGATGGAGAAGAAAGTCCCAGAATTTCAGAAGGATTCTATTTGTGGTTATTAAGTAATCGCAATGGAAGTCTTGAAGATACTTACAATGAAATTTAGAGTCCAATCGAATAATCATTGTTTCCTAGAAAAATCACACAAAGGATAAAAAAATTGTTATTTCATTAGTTCAATCTAATAAAAATATGAAACTCAGAAAAACCGGTGTTGTACAATGACGACACTGGAAATATTATTTCGAATATAATTGCACTAGAATAAGCTCAATATTTCTATCAACAAAACCACAACGTTTTATTGAAATTGATTATAAGGCAATTGAGAAATGAATTGAAACAAGATTTGTCATTGAAATATTAATACCCTGTATATCTCGAAAACGAAAATTGGATTTTGAATTACGAGTTCAATGAAAACTCTATTCTTCAAATTGGATGCGCACTGTTGAAAAGTAGACCAATTCATTGATTTTTCCTGCTCCTTGCAGATATCAGAACATATCTACAAAATTCTAATTCAGAGAGTGTTGTTATTGAGAAAGAAGAAGTCTTCTATTTTGCCTGAAGACGGATCTGGATTCTGAATTCGATTCCTATTTAGTTATGAAGAGTGATATTAGTTGAATATACCTATCAAGTATGAATCGATTATACACATAGTGGTTCAAAAGTTATGACCTGACCATAGATGGAGATTTTGCCAAAAATCGAGATTACGTTCTGTATCACAAAAAATACAGTTTCGAACAGAAAGCACGAAAATCAGAAGAATGCATTTCTTGATCGAAAAAAATACAGTTTCGAACAGCAAGCTCGAAAATCAGAACAGAGTATTCCTCGATCGGAAAAAATACACAAAACGGTACGAAACATACAGGGTATGTCACGACAAGCTTACACTATCTCTATATCGAGAATGAGTCAGGAGAAATACATGAAAATATACATGTTTATATTCTAGAATACGCGCTCTCTTCATCTAAAATAATTTCAGCAATGCAGTGTTGCCGTTTCCGAGTGAAAGAGAGTGAGGAATTCAGGAAAGAAATAGAAGACAAAAATAGAGAGTTGGAAAAAGAGTTAAAGCCAGAGAATTTAGATACAAAAGTCAGCGTTAGCAAAATTCAGAACTATTACCTTAAATTTATTTCAGATTTGAATCGAAATCAACATATATATTCAGAAAAATACAAAAAAAATGAAGAAGCAAATATCCAGGCAATTTTGAACAAAATTGAGTTTCGATGAACACTATAAAAAACTTTTGCATTTGAAAAACCGAATTTAAGATTTGAATAACAAATTGAATAATATTAGTAAAAATGTTGCTTTTTATGAGCATGATTCATCTCAAAATTCAAAATTTAATGGTAACAGATGAGACGCAGAGTTCGGAAAAAGCGTTGGTGATCAAGTTTACGTGTAGTTCATCTGGTTACAATAATTTATTGAAATTTCAATACGAATTACCATCGCTGCGTATATATATGTACATACCAACTTGATATCAACCTCCATTGAGGTCCTTCAGCCTTATCATTCAATATTTCGAGAAGAATTAATTTTCAAATCAATTTATCGTACCCTTTTACCCACTCGAGGAGACGCTATGCACTCTCATACAAAAATCAAAGACAGAGAAAGATATATGGATGTACTCTTCCCAAGACTTGTGGAGGAAATTCTTTATCCAAGCGAAAAACATATTCTTGTCCTTGTCTGGCAAAACATATGATTTGCTTCAGAATCGTTTGTGGTTATGTTTGATTGTCACTGCTTGTCTAGTGTCTGTACTCTAATTACAAAAAACGTCCAAAACAGCAGTGTCGAGTACATTTAGGAACTGTAGCTTCTCCTAGTTGAATTTTCAATAAGGTTCTGAGATACACTCCTAAGCTGAGTTTGTGCTAAGGGACAAATTTTTCAGAGTTATTCCAGAGTAATTCCAATGTGTCAATGTCATAAAACGTAAATGACGAGAAATATTACATGTATCTAAAGGAAATGATATTCACGATTCATATTTGTAATTTTTTCACGCACAGGTCCCTGTTGGCTGCATTGGCGCACCAGCCAGTTTTCTACAGGAGTACTCCGTATCTGGGGCGATACGCCTCCAGCCAGAATCTCTCCGACACCTACGTGCAGCTGCCCGTTTACGCCTCGCCCAGCGCTTCATCCACGGGGAGTTTGGACCCACCCCCGCCGCCCTTGCCGCCCAACAGGCCGGGCAGGTTTATGCGTACTAGATCGGACGACAATATTTTGAATTCCTTGGATGCCAAGCAGCCGCCCAAATTCAGGAGGTAAAAGAAATGTAATTCTTCATGTTGTCACGATATGATAGATGGTTAGTCCATCCATATCGATCATATTATATTTATCATGTACCTTTTCCCCCTTATTGATATAAACTACTCAACACTAATTTCGTCGCACACCAAAATGTCGCACCTGTTATAATGTGAATAACTTTCTTCAGTTTAGAACAATTTGAATTTGGTTCACACTGTTCGATAGCCCAGTCCTTCAGCTATAATCTCGTACTTCATTGAAACATAAGGGTATTCACATAAAATCTCTACATGGTGTTTTCCGACACTGTGCAAACTTTCGGAATATTCAAAAGGCTCTCAAATGGTGAAAAAAATGTTTTTCTCAACTTCGACAACAGAGGCATGAAGATGATCTCATTACCTCAAGATATTTCGCGAATCAACTTCCTATCTCTCTTATTTACAGAGTGATCTCAAAATATCAACTTTTTGGTTTTGCAGCCATAACTTTCTTCCACGTCAACCGATTTTAGAAATCTTAGGCACATTTTGAAGATAAAACTTTAGATGGAGAGATCTGAATATCAGAATTGATTCAAGATGGCTATCAAAGATCTAGAGTCGTCTTGAAGGTGACCCAAATCTGGAACGCCCTCCGAATCTCGGTTGGGAGGAGAATTGGATGAAAATCAACTTGTTCTCGGAAAAACAATTCATTAGTCGAAAATGTGCGTGAGAAAACACAATTGAAACATGTTCTTTCAAAAACATCACCATTTTTGAAATGTGTTTTTACAACAAATAAACGTTGTTCGCTTGAATACTTTTCCATATTCTTAAATCGCATGTTAGGTACGTGACAACTGTTAAAAGAATCACTTTATTGAAAAAATCAAAATCCGTTGCTCTTGTTGGTACAGGCTATTCCACATAACATGGGCCACTAGAATAGATTGAAAAGGAATTGAGGATTGAATTTGTATATGGATCATCCGGTATAGTTGACATTATCTGTAAAAGAGGAATCATATATGACTATAAACAACTCAGATTCTCAATTTTGTTCGTATCTCTTGAACTTCTCAGTTCACTAGATAATGGGCTGACCCATGTTATATGGGATACCCTGTACACCATTTTTGATGAGCCTCAGCTGGTCGGGTTTGTCAGTCACTCATTGTGATTCTTGTAACGTTGGTTACGGCGGGCCATGCATTACAGAGGAGAAATGATCTGATGTTTTTGCAAGAACATGTTTCAATTGTGTTTTCTCACGCACATTCTTGACTACTAAGAGCGAGGAAAATATGCACGCATCCAGAATGAATTGTTTTTCCGAGAACAAGTTGATTTTCATTCAATTCTCCTCCCAACCGAGATTCGGAGGGCGTTCCAGATTTGGGTCACCTTCAAGACGACTCTAGATCTTTGATAGCCATCTTGAATCAATTCTGATATTCAGATCTCTCCATCTAGAGTTTTATCTTCAAAGTGTGCCTAAGATTTTTCAAAATCGGTTGACGTGGAAAAAAGTTATGGCTGCAAAACCAAAAAGTTGATATTTTGAGATCACTCTGTAAATAAGAGAAATAGGAAGTTGATTCGCGAAATACCTCGAGGTAATGAGATCATCTTCATGCCTCTGTTGTCGAAGTTGAGAAAAACATTTTTTTCACCATTTGAGAGCCTTTTGAATATTCCGAAATTTTGCACAGTGTCGGAAAACACCATGTAGAGATTTTATGTGAATACCCTTAGGTTTCAATGAAGTACGAGATTATAGCTGAAGGACTGGGCTATCGAACAGTGTGAACCAAATTCAAATTGTTCTAAACTGAAGAAAGTTATTCACATTATAACAGGGGCGACATTTTGGTGTGCGACGAAATTAGTGTTGAGTAGTTTATAATTGGCTATTTCTCCTGCAGGCTACCCCCACCCCCACCTCCGGGGCACCAACCCCACCCCTCCCAGGCCGTCGACAAGACTGCCCTGGACATCCGCACCCTCAGAGAGAAGAGCAAGAAGATGGACCTGCCCCTCATTTCGGCGCTGTGCAACGACCGCTCGCTCATCAAGCAGACCAAGGCCTTCGTGATGCCGAAGCACCCTGGCGAGATGCCGCCGCGCGCCAGTCCTGCCAGGTGCAAGTATCCTGTTTCGGGACTGAGCAGCGCCAGGATCAGCAAGGGGAGAAAGCAACAGGTGCGTTATACACTGAGAGAAACTGGATATTAAAAATATCTATACCAGCTCTGATTGTGATTTCCTCTATAAAGAAATCTTCTATTCCTGATCATTTTGTTATTACAACAGTATTCTCTTCATTCTGTAATTATTAAAATCGCTATCTTTAAACATTCAGTCATTCATCAATCCTAGATTTCGTCTTGAAATCCCACAAAAAAAAAACAATCAACCTGAATGTATATAATAAAGTGCCAGAATCATTCAAAAAGCTCACCTCCTATAAATTTAAATCAGCTATCGAACAGCTTTTACCACAGTTTAAGGAATGGGTATCTTTTACTTACACATTTTCTACTCGGTAGATGAATTTCTGTCCAGTGATCTGACAGAATCTAATGTAATGTAAACATCATGATATACAGTGTCATTCATAAAGTCGGCATCATAATATATGGGAAAAACTTTTATTAATGACTTATTTTGAAACTCAAGTTGAACGTTGACTTTTGCTTCAAAAAAGATGAAAAATGGCCTACTCAATCGGGGTCGCGTGACTTTCGCTACATGTCAAAAGTGACATTTTTTCAAATTAATCGCTGAAAGTAGGCTTATTTGTTCGAATATCGAAAAAGTTTACTTGAAAAAGTTGTTTCTATTTCAATTTTACATATGTGACACGGATTTTATCTCTCTATTACATTTTTTAGATTTCGATATTTTGTAAAGATTTTCGAAATTTCTGTAATATTAAAAAAATTGGAAATTCGATAAAACTACTACATACCAGTAGTTTCATCATGCTACTAACTTTCAATTACTAATTATCGACAAAAATATGATTTTCTTCAGAAAATAATAATCTCCGCTTCAAAATTCTGTTCTGTTTGATGCAAACATAACATCAAAATTCTGTTATATTTGAGTCAAGCATTTAGAAACCAAATTCATTTGAATTTATTTTTTCAGTACTGAAAAGATCAGTTTAAATGAATTTCGTTTCTAAATGCTTGACGATATATCAACTTTGCATCAAACATAACAGAATTTGGAAGCGGGTATTATCATTTTCTGAAGAAAATCATATTTCTGTCCAAAATCAGTTATAATAAGTAATTGAAAGTGAGTAGCATGAAAAAGCTACTGGTATGAAGTAGTTTCGTGGAATTAACAATTCTTCAAATATTACAGAAATTTCGAAAAATAAAAAAAAAATCAAAATCTAAAAGTTGCGATAGAAAGATCAAATTCGAGAAGCATGTGTAAAATTGAAATAGAAAGAACTTTTTCAAGTAAACTTTTTCGATATTCTAACAAATAAGCCTACTTTCAGCGATTAATTTGAAAAAATGTCACTTTTGACATATAGCGAAAGTCACGTGACCCCGATTAAGTAGGCCATTTTGCATCTTTTTTGAAGCAAAACTCAACGTCCATCTCGAATTCCAAAATAAGTCATTAATAAAAGTTTTTCCCACATGATGCCGATTTTATGAATGACACTGTATATAGAAATACAACCATCTTACCTACTACTTTCAACATATTATATTAAACCATAAATTGTTGGGTAACTATGTATACTTGTTGCTTTCATTTGTTATGTTCACATATTTTTAATAATTTTTATATTTAGGTATATCTACGGACATGTTTCGAAATATTTGACCTATGTAATGAAAGAAATTTTCAAAGACACCATTAAATTCTATTCTATTCTATTCATTTGTAATACCCTTGGATGGACATTTGCTACCATCATAACGTTTGGGTTTCTAGCATTGTACGTTGACGAATAACTTCACATGTATGACGGTTATTAGACAATCATTCGACAATCGTAATTCGGCTCATTTCGCTCTAGTTTTTCATTAGTTTTGGGGCTGACAAAGCTACAGATCGCGTTCATTTTCACTTGTGATCTCGGTCATGGGTGCCCGTGTTCAATTAAATAGTTTCGATCGTCCGAATCGATAGAGCCGTGTCTTGTGGGTGAATGTGTGTGATGTAGCAAAATTTTGTTTTAGTTCTGGCTGTGAACCGAGCTGTGAAATACACCGTGCATTGCATTACTGCAATGAAAAAAGTGTTCTCCATACCCACTTTTCACGGCCTAAAATTGGTTTATTTCGGATTAAAAATAAAGGATCGATCAGATTCTGAATCAAAATATCTGGGTTTCTGTGAGGGAAGTTTCATTGACAATTCTCATCATAACTCCGAAGGAAGAGTAAATATAAGTATTCACTTCTCATTTCTCAATAAATTCGTCAGTATGCATATAGATGACATTTCTTTAAAAAAATCAATGAGTAATGTCAAAAAAACTTCCAGAGAAACACAGATATTTCAATTCAGACACTAAGCATATTTTTTCGTGTTTTGAAAAAAATAACTTTGGATCCTGACAAGTAAGTGTGGATAGGATATTTATTTTCATTGCAGTAATTCAAAGCACGGTTCCATAATGCATACCATCGAACAATGTTGATTAGATAATGTAATTACCACTGTTCGATGAATTTACTAGATTAGAAAAATATTGGGATAACTGTTGAAAATGAGCTATATTACAATAGCCTGTCAAAATGTTAGGTTCCATTCAGATTTCTTTAGAAAAGCCGATCTCACTGTGCCCAACATAAGCTTGTCAGGAGTAACCATACCTTTGAAGACATCCATTTCGATGCTAGGTATTACCTACTATCATCAATAACCATTCTTGGGAAAATCACGTGAGATCAATTGCTTAAAGTGCATCCCAAAAACTTGGTTTTCTGTTTTGGGCCAGGAGCTATTTCACTTCCAGTCAGCTGCTTATGATCTATAAGGCACAGATCCGACCTGTCCTGGAATACTGTTCCCATATTTGGAGTGCAGCACCCAAACATACCCTGAAACTGTTGGATTCTATCCAAAAAATGGCAATTCGTCTCGTGGGTGATGCCTCGCGGAGAGCGGTGTTATCTGGGACTGTTCTTGACAACACTTCAACTCTCTATTGAATTTTGTGGTCGACCGACTTTGAGTTTTTTTTTGTGTTTCAGGTGGTGAGTCATCGACATCCGGGAGACAAACTGCCAGAAATTCCTAGGGCCACCCCCAATAATTACGTGGTTACGGACCCGAGGGCAAAGCGTAAGGGGGTGCATCAGTCGCAGTCGTGAGGTTATGTGGTGGGGGGTGTAGGGACGATAACTACGAAAACCACGAGAATTTTTTTAAGACAAAGAAATATTTTTCCTCGGGATGAAATCATTGAATTCAGTCAAAGGGTCTAGAATGAATTAAGAGGGTTCAAGGAAGGAAAAGAAGGAAGTGAAATTGATCAATATAATAGTAGGCCAATGGTTTACGTCTCATATAATACCACAAGTGATACTATTTTGCTGGAAATATTTAGCGATTGTTGCGACAGCTTGTTGCCTAATAATTTCGCCGAATTACATTGCTTATCAAAATTTTCGAGCCGTAGGTAAGAAGTTTTGAAACAATGTCACGGGCGAAATTGAAGCAGCAAGCTGGAGCTTGTCAATCGACCAATATTTCCAGGAAAAATAGTATCACGAGTTGTATTCCTATGAGTATTCCATGATTGAGACAATAAACGAGCGGCTTGCGAGAGTTGCCCATACTGCATCCATCATTCTGGCTCCCAACATCATTGACGTTATAAATGGCACTGTATATAATATAGAAGAATCCGTGAAAATGGTCGATTCTGATTGTTTATCGAACACAAGAGTGGAATGGTCAAATGAAGAACATGTTTTTATCGGTACCATTCTTATTTGAAAAACACCTCAGCGTGTTTGAGTCTAACTACCAAAAACGCGAGATTTTTTTTTTAAATTTACCCGAGAAACGTGAAGTTTAGAAATGTCACCATTTTATTTATCTATCTGACACAGGAGTACCATGTGATGTCAAATAAAATATCACTAACGGTGTCATCAATCTGTTGCTTTCATTAACTGTCATTAATTTTATTTTATTTAGGGTCTTTGAAGCCGTTATGCATTACCTTTTTTAACTTTAAACTCGTCTTCATGATCAAAATATAGTACTTAGCGTACTAAGCCCAATGAAAATATTTCTGTTCTAACCTCCACTGCTCACATTATCAAAATAGAAGTGCCTAAATCTTTCGAACCATTCCCATCACGTGATAATATGTTGAGATTCGTATTTTTTGATGATTATTTTTCGCAATGAAATCGTGGAGGCTGAGTTCGGTCATGGAGTTTTATTCCACAACCACAACAAAATGTTCAACCGTTTCATATTATTAGTTATTTCCAAATTCATTATCTTAAAGTGTACCAATAAAAAATATCGTTATTATCATTTTCACACTTCTCCATATCATTGAGAAATTTCAACTTTCATCACCTTTACTCTCAATAGGTGCTCCAAAAATTTCGAAATCTTTGAAATTCAATATTTCCAATCTTACTTTCAGTCACTTGATTCCATTTCGTTCAATTCTGGCATAACTTTGTTGAATAATCCTTCGATATACAGTGTGACCCACTTCTAATGGAGCTCGCCAACAGCCCTGGAACCATCCCAATTTCCGGAAAATGATATTAGGAGTCAGAATAGGTTGAAAATCACATCGGATTCGGAATCAGGTCGCCCAATTCACTAACTTATCATAGTTTTCCTAGAAAATTTCCAGTTCAGAAAAATTGAATGTTGTCTTTGAATTGACCCACCCCCGTATCTCACGTAATTATTGAGGTAGGGTTCTGAAATTTGAAGGAAAAGTCCAAAGATAAAGTCAATTACGTAAGATACGGGGGTGCTTCCGTAAATAGTGCGACAAAATTTAATTTTTCAGAACTGAAAATTTCCCAGGAAGAAAATGAATAGTTAGTGAATTGGGCGTTCTGATTCCGAATCTGAAGTGATGTTCGACCTATTTTGGCTCCTTATATCATTTTCCGGAAATTGGGGTGGTTCCATGGCTGGTGGCGAGCAGTGTATATCACTGAAGATGACTTCACTTGGCATAGGGTATATGCCAAGTATATCTCGCGCTCCAGCAAATTTCAGGATCCACACCCAACGATTTCGTAAGATACACGGGTGTTTCTATTATAAGTGGGTCACACTGTATGTATTTCGTTATTCAATTCCATTTGCAAAATTCTTCCTTGAATGCCCTTAAAATTCTGCTTCGAGTTCCTAATGTCGCTTTTGGTTGTGTTGTAATTATTCACAATATTTCTTGAATATTTTGACTGAATTACCAGGTGAATTGAAATCTTCAGAGTTCCTAAACATATTTCAGAATCTTATTATTTTTGTTGTGCTCTTGGAAAATCCTAATTAGAATTCCTCGCAATATTTCCAATATTCTGATTCAGAATTCTGATTATTGAGTGAAATATTGAAATTCTGACATAGTTTATAGAATTCAACTCAAATTCCTTCAGAAACCCTTAATTCTTTTGGAACCATTCAAATTATCCAGAAATGAATGCATACAGGGTGTTTCCTAACTACGGTTCTTAACTGCAGGAGGTGATTTGTTAGGTCATTTTAAGAAGAAAAGCTTCAATGAACATATGTCCGGAGTTGCTTCGTTTCTGGGATAGAGGGCGTTGAAATTGAAGAAAAAAAACAGTAATTATAAAATATGAATATCCTGGAACCGATTTGGTTGAAATTTGGTACTTTTATTCATAAAATTTTTCAAAATTTCAGCATATCAAGTGTCAATTATATTTTTGGCGAAAATAATAAAAAAGACAATTCTCCAATGCACTTGTTTTTGATATGCAATACAGTGGCTTTAATTTGTTTTCTCGAAAACGAAGCTGGATATGAAGAAAATACAGGAAACCAAAAAGTTGTATTTTGAGTTGCTCAATCTGAGAAAGAATGAAGATTTACCAAAAAAAGTCAGTGGCGTACTTTTTTTCACAATATTGTTGGCTGTGGTGCCTACTGAGACGCCACTGGCCCCAATAATTTCAATCTGAATAGGGCTAAATAAGCGCCTTATTAGTTGAAATGAAAGTACCAAATTTCAACCAAAGCAATTCCAGGATATTCATGATATTTTATAATTACCGTTTTTTTTTTCTTCAATTTCAACGCCCTGTATCTCAGAAACGAAGCAACTCCGGACATATGTTAATAGGAACTTTTCTTCCTAAAATGACCTAACGAATCACCATCTGCAGTTGGGAACCGTAGTTAGGAAACACCCTGTATATACGTTGATCATCATGCATATAATATATAGGTATGAACACTGATTTCTATAAAAATTCCCATAACGATCATTACGATCCACGATGAGGAAATGCACATCAGAGAATTTGTTTGATTCCTAATAGTTAGACTTCTGAAAAAAACTCGAATAATAAGGAAACCACTCATTGTTTCATTGAAATTTTCAATAATTGTGGTTTTCGGCGTTTTCGTTAGAGTAGGTAAGTTAGAAATCATCATTGTGTTTCACTCAGGGTGCCATCATTGCAATATTTTCATTCATGTGAGTGTCAATATTCTGGCCAATTTAAAAAATTTCTTGGCCACAATATTGGCACCTGTTTTTAGTTAGGCAAGGATAAAATCGAGCAAAAATAATGTTTTTTCTCGTCTAGATTTCATGTACATAAAGAGGTTGTAATGTATAATGCACTAGGTAAATGACAGTTATTAGCATAAGGTTCACACTTGCTCAACTTTATAGTAATTGACATATCTACTGATATTTTTAATATTTACAATGTTTCTTATTTATTCCATCCAAATTCCAAAAAAGCTTCGACTATGGTGCTGCCATAAGTTTTAAAATAAAGTGAAAATAAAATGAACCTGCTTTTTCTTTGTCATCCCTTATTTATCATTCCTCTCTCTATTGTTTTTTTTATCTCGATACTTCCACGGGAAATGTTCTTCGGAAATCTCTGCTATCATCCCTTCACTAGCAATACCAGTCAGACGAACTAGACAAGCCCAGTCAGCACATCCTTTCGTTGTCAACCTCGAAAGATTTCGAACAGAACTTTATCAAAACTCCTTCATCCATAGAACGGCTAGGCTCTGGAATTCATTGCCTGAGGAAGTATTCCCAACAACGTATAATCTCCAGAAGTTCAAAAAAAATTCCAATACCTACCACCTGTCCCTATCCTCCCTAGGAACGCACGATGTTCTTCGAACATTATAGGAATTTCCTTTCGTGCGCTCCAAGCGATAAAAAAAAGATATTTTCAACAATTAATATAAACTATCAATTCTAAAGAAACGAATTGTGAATTTCATCAACATAAAATATAGCTTCGATATAAATCAGTTTGGTTTTCTAGAAAATAGTGGCACTCAAGCGGCAGTATTACAAGTGATAGGAGCAATTCAAAAAGGAATTGATGAAGGAAATTACATAGTAGCTGTTTTCATTGATCTAAAAAATTCTTTTGATACAGTTGACCACACAATACTTCTGGATAACTTGGAATCCATGGGACTCAGAGGTATTGTGAGAAATATTTTAGCTTCATATCTTGAAAATAGGACAATCAGTACCAAATCTGCTAATTCTGAGTCTCATAAACTGTCAATAAATAAGGGTGTTCCACAAGGATCTGTTTTAGGACCAATACTGTATCTGCTTTATATTCAAAATATCACGAAAGTTGGTTTAGCGAGTAATTATACCATATATGCAGACGATACAGTGCTTTTATATGAAAACAAAAATCCTCTAATTTTAGAAACTGTGATAAATAACGATCTGAAATTATTTGAAAAATGGCTCCACTCTAACCTTTTATCAATAATAAATACCAGAAAAACTGAATACATGATTTTTCAACAAAAAAATGAACAGAAAATTCAGTTCAATCTTCAAATAAAGAATGAAATTCTTGAAACAAACTGAACAGATAAAGTATTATTCAGATTCTGACGAAGAAAATATCTCCTATTATTGGTACATTGAGAAGATGCCCAAAACTCAATATGAAAATTGCAAATATAGTACTCTATTCATATATACTAAGTCGAATTAACTATTCAATAAATGTTTGGGGATCTTAATTGTTTCAAAAATAATTTAAATAAAATATTAACATTATATTATAGGAAATCATTAAAAGTACTGTATCGTCTTCCATATGATGCACCAACAACTGAACTGTATGCCTTAACAAAAACATATTCTTTAGAAGAACTGTACAGATGAGAGACTCTGAAAATGTCATAAAATATCATAAATAAAAAATTGAAATCTAATATTATTTCGTCAAGAAATTTTGAAATTCATAGTCATCTAACTAGACAATATAACTTATTTCACCTTGATGCTGCTAGTTCTACACTCGGACAAAAAAGATTCACTCATGCAGCCTCATCTGAGTTCAATAAACTACCAGATGAAATTAAAAACTGTAGAAATATATCTCCTTTTGCAAAATTTTGACTATTGGATAGACGATCGCAGTAGACCTTTCAAACGAGGTGTCACATGACCCCTGTTTGTATTCAAAAAAACCGTCCATTACGTCATTACTCCAACACCGGTAACGTAACATCTCTCATATGAATGTCATGAGATGTAGTTTCAAAAATTGAAACACGTGTTTTTGGAATTTCTTCAAATGTCGCCCATTTCTGAAATAATGAATTTATTCCATACATTTGCATCATACTGTATATTATTCATTACTTATTATTTAATAATTATGTTCTCCTTCATACCAGAACTTGTTCTGACTGGAAGACATATTTTATAAATAAATAAATAAATAAATAAATAAATAGGAAGTAGGATATGTATGTTGTATGTTGTAATCAGAGAGGTTGACATGAAAATATTCCATTGAAACTATTGAACATTACCCATTATCTCCGGTAGTTCAACCTAAAAAGATGAAGAAATATTTGCCTTGCACCAAAACAACAAAACAGATAAGTATACTTATTTTCGTTATGTGACAAAAAACATCAGACACACCATGAATGTTGAAGAATTCGATAGACAATATACTTTCGAAAATTCATTTTATATTCCTCTAATGCCTGATTGTTTGAAATGATCCATATGAGTTACCTATATATATTCATTTTCAAGCATGAAAGTCTGAATAACTGACTCAAACAAAGTTTTCCAAAGATTTATTGCATAACAACTTTGGCATCTAAAACAGCGTAAGTTTTATTTCAAAACTACAACCACTGATTCTCCTGGCCACAAAGAGATATCCTTGAAGGATATGGCACCATACTTAGAATCAGGTCTAGGACCGACCACAACATCTCCACTATACAAAATCGTGGACAAATCAGTCGTCAGCCTCTTAGTACCCAAATTACAAGCCACCACATACTGCTTCCTCCTCGGGTACCATCTCTGCACGACCAAGAACTGCTTCTGCGCGTATTTGACTTCCGCATTAGCCTTGGTACCGCCTTGCTTGTAAACCGAGTTCATATAAATCGAAGGCGACTGTTCTCTGAGCGCCACCATTTTACTTATCACCTCCATTTGCTCGTACCTACCCACCACCTCATCGTCTCCGTGGATCCAAGGAAGCATCTTCATCTTCTGGTTAGGCCAAGGCATCATTGTCAGCTGATGCAGGTGCTTGATATCCTGCTTTTCCCCTTGGTGATCGGAAATTTGCTGGATACCGAGCTCATCACCGTAGAAGACAGACGGAGTTCCTGGTAGCATCAGCTGAAGCAAAGTGGCGCCTAGAGTACCGTTACCGTACGGTAACACGTTGGCTAGCCTATCGGAGTTGGCATTGCCCAAAGACCAGTGCACCCAAGGCATGCCAGGAGTCGTGAACAAAGTGCTGTTTTGCAGCGAGTTGATTACTTTGCTCACTTCGGTAGCTCCGCTTTCGAGGTGCAGCTTCACGTCCACTAAGTCGACATTGTTGTAAACGATTTGCTTCAGGTTTTGTGGTACGGCATTGATGAAATGCTCGCTGACTATGATAGCTCTATTCTCTCCTAGGATTTTTTTCCACCTTCTCAAAGAATTAGCTAGGTTTGGGTCGTTGCTGAGGTACTCTAGGCCTTTGAGGTAAAATCCTTCGACTCCGTTGGACGTCCAGAAGAGTATGGCATCTTCTATGGCATCCAGTTGATCGTCTCTTGCTTTCCTTAAGAATTCTACTGTAGGACCAGAGCTACTCTCGCTTTTATTACTTTCTTTTCTTTTAGCAAGCTTTTTGACAAAGGGGTAGATTGGCAGATCTAGAATTACCGAGATATTCATGAAGTTGAGACGTTTCACCATTCCTCCAAAGTCTCTCAAGCTTCCCAATGGTTTAGCGATCTCGGTCAAGCTAGTGACGTTCTCAAAATCATGGGGATAGTTATTGCTCTCGAAGATGGAGTTGAGTCTCACCCCTCTAGCGCCTAGCTTCTTGATATAGTCCGCTTTGAAAGCTATACCTTTGAAGTCGCCCTCCATGTTCTGGTCCCTGCTGTAGAAGCTAGCAGGGAATATCTCGTAAAGCAGGTTTCCTTGGTACCAGAAGGTAGGGGGGTTGCAAGTTTTGGGCAAGGTTGCGATCATAGCAGCTACTAGAGCCACCATGGCTACTAAACCTGAGAGGAACATCCACATGGATATTCTGCGGATCAGGGGCCAGTTCCACGACATGAAGAAGTAGTTGTCAGGTGGGTTGCGGAATGTCAATTGGAGGGGTTGATCCTTCTCATTAGTCACCTGTAATACCACAATGATTCAGCCTCTTGAGAGTGAGGAGGTGAATTCATCTACTCACCTCTGACTGGTGGTTTTCTTCACCATTTGCGATGTTGTGGTAGATATTTCTGTGGTTCAGTAGCTGGGTACAAGCTGGTTCTGCCAGAGCTGAGGAGCTAGAGGAAGCTGACTCTGCCTTTTCTTCATCTGAACCTTACAACAAATAAACATTAAGTGAAGATAGTATTGGTTGGAGCAGGTAACTATCAATTTTGAAAAGTCTGTGCATTTTCTTGGACTGCTCTCTTCAGTGGCGCATCTAGGATTCAGTTCTGGGGTCATACTTTCTTTATATTACATAAATTTTGTGGAAATTGAAGAATATCAAGAACTAAACGTTGCAACAGGTTATGGATTATTATAACGAATTCAACGATACTGGTTTCCTGAAATCGAAGTAACCCATTCCGAAATCGAGTTTAACTTCTCCGAAATTGAAGTTGAAAAGGTATAGTGTGATCAAAAGTAGGTGATAAGGCCGAATTTTCTCAAGTGGAATTGTCAGTGGCGTAGATCAATTCTTAAGGGGGTCATAGACATCCGCTAATTTAAAAATTCCCTTACTTCCGATTTGTTGTAACTTTGTTGCTAATTCGTGACTAATGGTGTAATTATTAGCCTCTGAGTGTTCTTGAAGAGGGTCTACGAATGCGTTTGTTGGTGGTGAGGGGGTGATCAGAGGACATAATGAAGCGACTTCGTCCGTCAGAAATGAAGAACTACTGGGCGATGTTGTCAGATGTTGAGGATCTACCCTCAGAAAGCTGTCCATATTTTCGTGGTTCTCACTGGTTCACATAGTACCTGGAACTGAAGGCATGAATTAGGTTGGTACAGGGTCTTCATGTATATTTGGACTGTTTTATTTATCATCGAATTTTTTTCGAATACAGGGTGGTTCAAAATTCAGAATTCTGATCACCCTGTATGTGTTCCAATTGAATGTCATAATGAATAGTTTCGACACAAAAAATTCCTAAAGTTGAAAAAATCTCAATTTTTCACACCCTATATCTCTGTAATCATTGCAGCTAGATCCCAACTGTGATAGATCGATGAAATCAGCTCTTCAGGAAGAATCTAAAACTGCAATAAAATACAGGGTGTTCCATTTGAAAATTTATACATCTTGCCCATAACTTTTTTTTGAGATATCCAATTGTTTTTCAGCTAACAAATAAAAAGCATGATATATGAAGTCAAATTATTGTTATACGAACATACAAGGGATTCCTCTTCGTGCAATCTGGAAAATATATAAATATATTCGCACAAATTGAACTGGCGAAGATCTTGATGATGTCTTATTGATAGCTAGATAATGAGAAACCGAGTTCATATTAGTGTTCGGTACATCAGGAATGAATATGTTCATCAAATAAGTAGATTATGTTTATCATTTATTATTCGATCATAAAATCAAAAGTATCCATGAACCTAGTGTTTCAAAGCCATCTTACATTACAGACGAAAAATTGTATGGAAATTTATTGGAAAGTAAGCAAAAAATATTGAGTAAATACTTTCACATTCAGCCTCGATGACAAGCCAAAAAACGCCTGAATTTTGTTTCTATGTATATCGTTACAAAATCGAATATGTATTGCCTGGATTTTTTTGCCAACATATTTAGAAAAAACAAGAAAAATCTGCCATACTCACGACAAAAAATCACTTCAGTATGACTCTTGACTATCAAATGAATGAAAACGTTCGATAGACAGAATTATAACTAACAATTAATTTCAATAAAAAGTGGTTTATTCTTACACATTGTGCACATGTGAAACAGCTGACTGACGCAATCAGCGCCGTCTAGAATCTAGATCGATATAGGACGCGTCGGGACGCATAGCGTCTCCATAGACATAGGCGTTTCATGAGACTGGATAATCTAGATTTTGTTCCTATTCAAGAATATTCGCAATGGGGCGAAAGGATTGACATCCATCCTTTCATAAATATTATTGATTTTTAAATGTTCCACACCTTTTAATTCTTTCCAAAAAATCTTCAAGGCCGTGTACCAACTCAACGAGACGATTTTGGATATAGGTAAGTTGGCCTAAATCAACTTGATTGTATCTCAGGAGTCCACAGCCGAGTCATGTCCCAACTTTTTACAGACACCCTGTATATATCCATTTTTTATGTTCATAATTATATCTGTGAATATTCCTTTTCAATACTTTGACCCAATCAATAAGGGGTTCAAACTAGAACAATGTAAACTTGTTTTTTTTATCGCTTGGGGCGCACGAAAGGGAATCCCTATAATTATTATTATTATTATTATTATTATATTATAACAAGGGCAGAGGCATGGCCTATTTTGCCCAATAGATACTTAAGCTTAAAAATTAGTTACAACTATTAATGTGTCAAGTCCAATACATTTCTAATGATACACTATTGATACCTAATTTAGTAATCACTGTAATTGTTGAAATTGCAATTGCAATTGCACCAAGTCGTAGCGGTTTTTGAAACTATTCACACTGGGAGCTGACACAACATCACGAGGTAATGCATTCCACTTTGAAAATACTCGATTTGACAAAAATTTTTGTCTGAGTGTGGTTCGAAAATGTTCTTGCTTCAACTTCATAGAATGGCCTCTCAATCTATCATCATTCTGCAGATGGAATAAGTTGGATAGGTCAACAGAGAAGTCATCGTGCAGAATTCTATACGTCAGAATAGCGTCTCCTCTAGCTCGTCTATCACTCAGCAAAGGAAGCCTTAGCCGAGATAGCCGTTGTTCATAGGAAAGATCCCTGAAACTTCTAACCATTCGTGTTGCATTGCGTTGGGCTCTTTCCAAAAGTTGAATGTCTTTCACCAGATGAGGATTCCATACCTGCACCGCATATTCAAGGTGTGGGCGAACATATGCTTTATAAAGCTTATTGAAGAGGCTTGGTTCAGGTTGGTCAAAGCATTTGTTAAGGAGGTATGTGCGACTGTTTGCCTTACGGACAGCTGCTGCTACTTGATTGGACACAGTTAGTTTCTTGTTGAAAATGACTCCTAGGTCGTTATGGTTCTCCACTGCAGGAATGATTTTATTACCTAGGTAGTAGTCTAGTTCTGGGTTAGTGGGGCCAACATGTAGAATAGAGCACTTGTCGATATTCAGAGGAATGTCCCACATGCCGCACCAGCTTTGTACTGATAACAGATCAGATTGTAGTTCATCGAAACTGGATAGTGGGTTGCCAAAAAATTTGCTGTCGTCTGCGAAAAATGCATGGTCGGACCTTAGAGCGGTATGTAAATCTGATGCGTATGCCAAAAATAATGTTGGACCCAAGACCGATCCCTGGGGTACTCCAGACGTAACATCATGAGTACTAGAGTGACTGGTACCCACTCTCACTCTGAAAACCCTGTCAGAGAGAAATGCAGCTATCCAGCTATGGAGTTTTCCTCTGACACCAAAATGTTCAAGTTTATGTAATAGCTTATTCCGTGGTACCTTGTCGAACGCTTTGGAAAAGTCAAGGTATATAATATCGATGGGTGATGCGGAGTCCATTGATTTGGTCCATTTATCCAAGCAATAGAGCAGGTTAGTTGTTGTAGATCTTCCTGGTATGAAGCCATGTTGGGTGGGTGGAATCACGTCGTTCTCGAGCAGAAAAGGTAGTAGGACATCTACAATTATTCGTTCCATGATTTTAGCACACAAGGATACTAGACTTATTGGTCTGTAGTTACCAGGGTCAAGTTTATCTCCTTTTTTATAAATGGGGGTAACAGACGCAAGTCGCCAGGCGGAAGGGAGGCAAGAAGAGTGAAAGGAGGATTCGAAAATATGACTAAGAGGTACTGCGATGATTGATGCATATCTCTTCAGTATGAAGGCTGGTATATTATCTGGCCCAGGTGATACCCCTTCCTTGATATTCTTGAGCTTCTCCTCTACAGTTTCCGCAGTAAATATAATATGACTCAGCGAGTTTGGACATCGTGGCGAAGCAATCGCAGGTAGGGCCGAGGTAATGTTCAAAGAACAACAAATAAAAATTCCGCATGATTCCGAACTTTGATTCACACTGACGTTTGATGAAAATTTATGTGCAACGCCAAAACAAAGGTATCAAGATAGTAAAAGACAACAAAATTGTGTTGTTAACAGTCTATGTAGAAGCCCAAGGGACGATATACATTACTTTCGGACACATTTTTAGGGTTGATATGATTCATATCATATACGAGAGGCGAAAAAAATAATATCGTTAACGAAAAATTTCGTAAATCAGAGTGAAATTAGTTTGAATTCATCGTTTCATCTCGCAGCACATATTGTATATTGAGTCAATTTTATCAAAACCATGTCAGTGCAACGTGTTGATTGATTACATTATGAAATAATGTTCAATAATAATTCACAATGTTCATCATCATCTCCAAACACAAAAATATCCGAGTTACTCAACATTTCTATATTTATTTTGTTACATTTTATAAACAATAATGCAACTTTTAGATATATTGGATTTTTTCAAAGGTTTCAACATAATATTATCAGCAATACTCTCTCATGGGAAAGCAATAGCTGCTTCACAAAAACTCGGATTCTTGTTCCGTACGATAATCTACTTTACACCTCAACAAGTTCTCATGATCATAAAAGCACAGATACGGCCAGATTCAGAAAACTGTTCTCATGTATAGGGTTCAGCACCCAAACATACGCTGATGCTCTTAGATTCCATCAAGAGAAGAGCCATTCGGCTGGTGGGTGATGCCACACTCACTAACTCTTTGACCCCAGAAAGAACACCGTAGGAAAGTCAGAGACCTCTCACGTTTCCATAGATACTTCCACGGGAAAAGTTCCTCAGAAATCTCTGCTATAATTCCACCACTAGCAATACCAGTCAGACGAATTTGACAGGCCCAGTCAGCCCACCCCTTCGTCGTTAACCTTGACAAATGTCGAACAACACTCTACCAAAACTTCTTCGTCCATGAAACGGAGACGCTTTGGAATTATTTGTCAATTGAAGTATTCCCAAGAACTCATAACCTCCAGGAGTTCAAAAAAATTCCAACACCTACCTCCTTGCCCTATTATTTCTGGGTACGCACGATGCTCCACGAACCTTATAGGAATATCATTTCGTGAGCTCCAAGAGATAAAAAATATGTATAATGTACTTATCGTTTACACAGTAGCTTCATCAGGTGAAATATTGGTACAGTGAGCTAAACTAACCTTGGCTTGCTAACTTAACTTGAAGTTAGGCAAGTTCAGTAGGTTAAAAACATAAGATATGTATGATTTTTATTATGAAACTACGCTAAAAAGCGTATGAAAACATCATTGTTGCCTTGGATATAATCTAGGACCTAGGAGATGACTTTCGAATTTTCTATGTAGGTAATATATTTTGATTGCTGCTGCTGCTGGTTGTAATAGTAAATTACACACCGAGGTAGGAAGAGATTAATTCCTATCGTGAGATTAGTTAGTTTGTTAGTTATTTCAAAGATCATGGAGAAAGCTATCAACATCGAGCTCATGAAATACCTGGAACATTCAGGTTTTATCAACGATAGGCAATATGGCTTCCATCATCAGAGATCAACTGGTGACCTGCTCGGTTACGTCTCACATATATGGCAGCAATCTATTGAGAAATATGGTGAAACCTTAGCCGTGGCACTTGATATCTCCAAGGCATTCGATCGAGTCTGGCACCATGGACTGCTCGCCAAGCTTCCATCTTATGGCTTGCCTCCTCAGCTATGTTTTCTGCTAGCTAGTTTTCTCTCAAACAGGTCTCTCCATGTAGTCGTCGACGGAGTTTCATGTGACTCTTCTATCATAAATGCTGGTGTTCTGCAAGGATCAATTCTAGCACCAACACTATTTCTACTCAATATCAACGATTTGTTGGCAGCAACTTCATATCCATACCGCCTTCTCTTCCAGGGCTCCAATACCAGCCAGGTATATCAGAAACGAACGAGAGAGAAATGTTGGCAACATAAATATGGACTTGGCAACATTTCTCGAATGGGGATCCAATAACTTGGTAGATTTTAATGCAACAAAACACAAACATGCCTTTTCTCAAAAAAAAGCCGATCACACTGTGCCCAACATAAGCTTGTCAGGATCAATTGCTAAAAGTGTGAGTGAAAGATAATGTCGATTCTCAATTTCACAGGATTTTGATTTATCAACAGATATAATTCAATGTTCGACGTGGTAAATAGCCTGGAAAGTAATCGTTTTCTGTTGAATATCCAGAATGATATTATGTATATATCTTTATAAAAAGGAGCATGCAAATTCTCTACTTCAGAAGATTTGTTTTCAAATTCTCATCGTGTGTGTTCAATTCCTCGTGCCATATAGCCAGGAAAGTTTTTGTTTTCTGTTGAATAAATCGAGAAAGAATTAATATTTCCATCACATGGAGAATGCGAATTCTCAATATATTTCTTCATATATATATATATCCATTTTTTTGTGTTCATAAATATATCTGAGAATATTCCTTTTCAATTCTTATACGGTTACCAAAAACCCCATTCTTATCTTGGACACCCTGTATTTCAGAAGGTATATAAAGTCCATTATTTTGTTATTATTTTATGAAACTCGAATAGAAATAAATAATTACTCTTTGATAACTTGTCAGTACTGATAAGTGACCTTTAACTGCATTCATTCACAGTGAGAGAAGACTCGAAGAATAAATCAGCGTCTGCTCAATGTATACTCAAAATCGTGAGATATTATTTCTCTAAAATATCCTCCAATCAGAAGTTCCATTGAACTATTATTGGGTACCAACTCAATCAGTTTCGAGAGTATGTTCAACAACACTGTCACTAGTATTTGGCCTTGAGGTGAGTACAAAGAATTGATCAAAGATAGTACAGTACCTACTGCGAGTTTGTATTTATATGTATGCTTCTCAAGATCTATATACAAAGCACAGGTATACGGTCAGTTTTAGAATACTGTTCTCACATATGGGGTTCAGCACCCAAACATACGCTGATAGATTACCGTAGGAAAGTCGCCGAACAATATAGGAATTTATTTTTGTGCGCTCCCATAGCAGATTTACAATTCATTCACATCAGGTACTGAGACCTCAGCTTATTTTTATCAAATCTGTTATGGCATATACCAAGATATCACAGGTGGATAAACGAATTACAAATACTTCCAAAGTCTTTTTTGAAAATGACATTCCCCGTATTTTTTCAAAATAAATCAATCCTAACAGAAACCTTTTGAAATACCTCTCAATCTGAGGCACTGCAACAGAGCATACTACAAATGATAATCATTATTGAAATGAACATTTAGGAACTGAAAAATAAAATTAATTGGAAATTGATTGAACTCTCACCCCCGCAGGAAGGTTTGCATTGAGTAGGTGAAACTGGCAAAAAATGTTTCCCCCTAAAATCAAAAATTGAAGCATCACCTGGGGACCCAAAATTGTCTCTGCCTCGTTTTCAAATGACCACCCTGTATATGATTCGACCTCCCTTGAGCTTTTGCATACATATAAATAGATCTAGATGTAGCAGCAAAAGAGTGGTATCTCTATACAGGGTAATCCAAAATTCGATATGAATATTTTAAGGACGTATTGTTGGGCTCAAAATAAGACTGTTTCTTCATATGTACATGGTGACCTAAAATGCACCTCCTCCCAAGTGTGGACTCCACACCAACTCCTCCAAAACTGACTTCACATAATTTCTGAAGCAAAGAAGAAGGCTTATTTTGATCCCAACAATTAGTCCTTGAAATATTGACATCGAATTTTGAATCACCCTATAAATAAAAATGAATCCCTATTTCCCTTGGTCTCGCCATTACACGTGAAAGGCTGGACCGATTTCACTTCTTTTTCATGTTGTATAATTATGTTATTGTTGGAAGGTTCTTTTGAATGAGTATATTAAGAAATCAAAGATGGTGGATCTAATATGGCGGAAGAAATTTTTATGAATGATCCGATATTATTAACAATTTGTATCTAAGAGTTTTCGGGGTCAGAGATTATGATTCTTTCGTCAAAATTCGAAAATTCAAGATGACGGATCCAAAATGGCGGACAAGTTCTGTAATCATGATCCGATTCTATTCAAAATTTGTAACTAAGGGTTTTTGGGGTCGGAGATTATGATTGTTTCATATAAATTGAGATATTCAAGATGGCGGATCCAATATGACGGTAGAGCTTTGTGCTTTTTATCCGATTCTATTCAAAATTGATAGGTATCTAAGGATTTACGGGGTTAGAAATTATGATTCTTTCGTCAAATTTGAGAAATCCAAGATGACAATCCAATATGGCGTACGAGTTATCGAATTATGATCCGATTCTATTCGAAATTAGTGTCTGGTGGTTTTCGGGGTCGGATATCATGATTCCTTTGTCAAAATGAGAAGATTCAAGATGGCAGATTTGATATGTCGAACGAACTTTGTAATAAATGAAGTGTTTTGTGAAACAAATGAAACACGCTTTCATAGACAGCCAAACTGAAAAAAAGTAGAAAATTAATTGTCATTCAAAAAATTTAGAAAACACGTTTTCACGGTTATTTGTACTGAAATCAAGGAGTGAATAAAATAATAAAAGTGTGTTGTTGAATATTTAACAAAAAAAATATTTTCTGGAAATGATTTATATATAGCAAAACAACGTTTGCCAGGTCAGCTAATGAAACAATAAAAGCTGTTCAATTTGGCTAATCTAACATAAACATGACATATAAGTATGACCTATGGAAGATTTCATTTTTATTATCGCAAACGCATTCGATTATGCCACTATCAGTTTTTATTCGTTATTTTCATAATTTCACTCATAAGCTATTTCACCATCATGTGGAAAAACGAAACAACCAGCAGTTATCTAGTGATGGTTGTTACAAAACGAACTCCCAACTCCCAAAATGGAGTGGAAATTCAAGTACCTAGTTTTTCTTCTCACATTTTCCTTCTATTGAAACTAACTAACAAATATTCAGAGTGCTCTTTCATTTTGGATTATTGTACAGAAGAAATTGTTTAGTTATAGCATTTTCTGAAAATTCTGAAACTATTGAGCGAGTGTTTCAATACAACATGTGCAAAAAACTTGTAGTTTTTATATTAATTTGGGTACGAGACATCTTATAGTTCTGTCCAATAGATACTTATTGGAACATTGAAGTTACATTGATAATTCTTTCCACCATAGAGCATTTACTATCATAGGTGCTCAGTTGATGCATTGGCATTTAGAGTGTCAAAATGTTGACCAAAAATTCAAAGTTTTATGATTACATTTCCACATTGCAACTGTTGGTCATACTAGTGTTCATAAGTCTACTGTTTCAATCAAATAATTCAATCAAAAAATCATTATACTAACTTACAAAAGTATTACCAACACGTGATCATTAATTATCCTAATATTTTTCTCTTTTTGCAGACTTAGTTGATATTACATGGAGCGATTAGTTGAAGCTTTTCACCTACGAACAAAGACGAAATTTAAGGTTTTCGACTGCCAACTGAAAGAAAGATATTCCTCAGTACCTTGGAAATTAACCATTTTCGTGGACGTCTACCATATCGAAAGCCCAGGTTATGAGTCTTGATTTTGTTGCCGGGTGTGTCGGAGGTAATAATCTAATAATTCAGTTGATGATGTTTCAGAGGTAATTTATTCGTTGATATTTTGGGATGGAAGTTTATCCAAAAACGATTTGCGAATAGACAGATAATTAATTATTCGCAAAAACTCCACTGTCGTTATACTACTCCAGAAATTTGCAATACTCAGCAATTGATTTTGGATATACTTACTCAATTCACACAATCTCACAATCGTGAGAACCAAGGGAAATAAGGTAGAGATTGGTGTGCTTCTTGAATTTCTGGAGGTTATATGCCTCGGTGAACACCTCCCTTGGCAATGTGTTCCAGAGCCTCGCTGTTCGTTGGATGAACGAGTCTTTGGAACGAGATGTTCTGCAGGTCTCCAAAGTGACCACGAAGGGGTGCGAAGCCTCAACTCGACGTGTTAATCTCGCGGGGACTGCCAAGGGAGGAACAATTGTTGATGTTCCAGAAGAGCATCGTCCATGAAAATATCTATAAAATAGGGCCGAATCGCCAACTTTTCTACGATGTTCCAGAGAAGTGAGTGAGTTTGTGAGCGAGGCATCACCCACGAGACGAATTGCCCTTTTTTTGGACAGAATCCAACAGTTTCAGGGTATGTTTGGGTGCTGCACTCCAAATATGGGAACAGTTTTCCAGGACAGGTCGTATCTGTGCCTCATAGATCATAAGCAGCTGACTAGAAGTGAAATAGTTCCTGGCCCGAAACAGATGCACTTTTAGCAGTTGATCTCACGTGATTTTCCCAAGAAAGGTTATTGCTGATAGTAATACCGAGCATCGAAATGGATGTCTTCAAAGGTATGGTTACTCCTGACAAGCTCAAGTTGGGCAAAGTGAGATGGGCTTTTCTAGAGAAATGGCAAGCTTGTGTTTTGTTTGCATTGTAATCTACCAAGTCACTTGATCCTTCTTAGAGAATTGTTGCCAAGTCCATATTTATGTTGTCAACATTTCTTCCTCGTTCGTTTCTGATTTGCCTGGCTGGTATTGGAGCCCTGGAAGAGAAGGCGGTATAGAGGGTACTATCATCCGCGAAGCTGTGTACTGGGACATGAAGTTGCTTCCAACAAATCGTTGAAATAGTTTTGGTGCTAGAGTTGATCCTTGCGGAACACCAGCATTTATGATAAGAGAGTCAGATGAAACTCCGTCGATCACTACATGGAGAGACCTGTTTGAGAGAAAACTAGCTAGCAGAAAACATAGCTGGGGAGGCAAGCCGTAAGATGGAAGCTTGGCGAGGAGTCCGTGGTGCCAGACTCGATCGAATGCCTCGGAGATATCAAGTGCCACGGCTAAGGTTTCACTATATTTCTCAATAGATTGCTGCCATATATGTGAGACGTAAGCGAGCAGGTCACCAGTTGATCTCTGATGACGGAAGCCATATTGCCTACCGTTGATAATACCTGAATGTTTCATGAGCTCGATGTTGATAGCTTCCTCTATGATCTTTGAAGTAATAAATAGCAGTGGGAACGGTCTGTAGTTGCTGGAAAGGGTCTTTTTGCCTTTTTCAGGAACTGGTTGTACTCTTGCAATTTTCCAGTTGGACGGAAATATCCCCAATTTGTAAGAGTAGTTGAACAACTTGCAGAGAACAGGTGTTACTTCGGGAGCACATTCCTTGAGGACAATCGGTGGGATTCCGTCGGAGCCACAAGCTTTGTTGGTGTTGAGACCCAATAAAATCTTCTACATACTATTGTTGATTATTTTGTAAAAAGTATCAACTGATGATGAATTTTTCGTGTTTCAGGGATTGCTGGAGTGATAGTAGGCCACCCTTTGGACACCGTGAAAGTCCACTTGCAGACGCAGGACCACAATGCGCCCAAATACCGAGGCACGATCCACTGCTTTCGCTCGCTGATGGCCAAGGACTGCCTCAAGGGTCTGTACAGGGGCGTCAGCAGCCCGATCGTAGGAGTCGCGGGCATCAACGCCGTCGTTTTTGGCGTCTACGGCAACACTCAGAGGCGTCTCAGCGATCCTGAGTCGCTCAGGTCGCACGCTCTGGCAGGAGCTGCTGCTGGGCTGTTCCAGAGTTTTATTTGCAGCCCGATGGAACTAGCTAAATCCAGACTGCAGGTAATATCAAAGGGAACGAAAAATATTCCTGAGTTCAACTATGCGAAACTATCTTCGTCGCACCCCTAAATTTTGCCCCTGTTGAAATATGAATAACTTTTTTCTGCTTTGACCCATTTCAACTGTTCGCTAGCCTAGTACTTCAGCTATCTTGTTTTTCCTCGAAACATGACGTTATTCATATAATGATTTCTACCGGATGTCAACTGAAACTCTGAAAAATTTCGAAATTTCAAAAAGAATCCCAAATGAACAAACTTTTTTTCCTATCAACTCTCACAGCATGGCCATGAAGATGATCTTATTACCTTCAGAAATTATTCAAATTGTCTCCTCATCTCTTTTATTCACAGAGTGATCTCGAAAAAATATTTTTTTGGTTGTGCAGTCATAACTTTTTTTTCTCGTCAACCGATTTTCAAAATCTGAGGCTCATGTTGGAGCTGAAACTTCAGATGAAGAGATATGAAGATCAGAATTGAGCCAAGATGAACATTCTACAGTGTGTCTCACTATCTTTCGATACTGTTGAGTTAGGATTCTGCAATTTGCAGGATATACTGAATATACACACTGAGACCAAGTGGAGTCATCCCAGTGATATACACTGCCTTGCCACCCACAAAAATGATATTAGGAGGCAAGATATGTTGAAAATCACTTCGGATTCAAAAGCAGGACGTCCAATTCACAAACTCTTCATATTTTTCCTGAAAAATATGCAGTACTGAAAAATCAAATTTCGTCCTACTCTTCATGGAAGCACTCCCGTATCTTACGTAGGGATGCTTACAGGAAAAGTGAGACAACACTCAATTTTCCATAACTAAAATTCTTCCAAGAAAAGAATGTACCTATAGTTAGTGAATGGGGCATCCTGATTTCGAAGTGATTATCAACCTATCTTGGCTCCTAATATAATTTTCCGGAAATGTGGGACATTCCATGGCTGTCGACGAGCAGTGTATTCCACTGGAGATGACTCCACTCTACCATATTGTGTATTTCCAGTATATCTACTGCTCCTGCGTATCCTAACTCAATAACGAAAGATAAAGGGGTGCTTCCATTAGAAGTGAGACATACTGTATAATGTTCATCTTGAATCAATTCTGATCTCTTCATCTGAAGTTTCAGCTTCAAAATGAGCCTGAGATTCAAAAAATTTAATACAAGGAAAGAAACCAGGAAGCTATTCTTTTAGATCACTCACACAAAATTTGAAGGTAATGAGATCATCTTCATGCATCTGCTGTCAAAGTTGAGAAAAAAAATTCTTGTTCATTTTGGTTTTTTCTTGAAAGTTTCGAAATGTTTCACTGTTTCAAGTGACACCTTGTAGCGAGCTTATACGAAAAACCTCATGTTTTGAAGAAGTACGAGATTATAGATAAAGGACTTGGCTAGCGAACAGTATGATCCGAATTCAAATTGTTAATAGCAGAAAAAAGTTATTAATTCTTTAACAGTGGCAACATTTCGGGGTGCGACGGGTGTTGCGTAGTTTAGACAGAAAGAAGAACATATATAGGATAGACTAGGAGATTCATCTGAACTAGCTTTGAGGAACATCTAACACATTTGACTTTGAGATAGCTATTGAAACCACGTTCAAACAACATTTAGTACATTCGGAGTATATGGAAGATGAGATTAGTCGAATGTAGTAGAAGATATTGAGTATTTTCACAGGGCGTTCCTTAAAGATATGCTAATATATTTGAGGGTGTTATTCTGTGACACATTTTAAGAATGAAACTATGTTCTAGTTAGTGAATTGGGCGTCCTGATTCCGCATCCGAAGTGATTTCCAACCTATTTTGACTCCTAATATCATTTTCCGGAAATTGGGGTGGTTCCATGGCTGTGTGCGAGCAGTGTATATCACTTAAGATGACCTAACTTGGTCATAAAGTGCATTTTTCATATATCTTCAAGAATGAAACTATGTCCTAGTTAGTGCTTTGGGCGTCCTGATTCCGAATCCGATGTGATTTTCAACCTATTTTGACTTCTAATATCATTTTCCGGAAATTGGGGTGGTTCCATGGCTGTTGGCGAGCAGTGTATATCACTTAAGATGACCTCACTTGGTAATAAAGTGCATTTTTCGTATATCTCTCGCTCCAGCAAATTTCAGAATCCTTACCCAACGATTAGGTATGTAAAATACAGGAGTGTTTCCATTAGAAGTGGGTCACACTGTATATGTGATATATATCTGGGTAGACGCTTGTTACTTCTTCAACATGGGAAAAGAGTATTTATGAAAACTGACGTTTTATAACCTGTCAACAGCCATGAAATTTTTTCCCGTCACAAAAAAAAAGAAAGACACTGTACCTATAATGAATAATAATTGCGATTGCTAAGAATAGTTGATAGTAAGTCATGAATCGGGATAACAATATTGAATTGTTTAATTTTCAAGGTATCTGATAAGGTTGGCAATAATCCATTGGAATGCTTGAAGAAAATATACGGCTCTGAAGGTATCAAAGGGCTTTCCAGGGGCCTGGGTTTGACGATAGCCAGAGAGATTCCTGGATATTCTGCCTATTTCTTCACTTATGAACTCCTCACTAGAACTGAAGATGAAGGACCTATTTCCACAGGACGGATGCTTTTTGCAGGAGGATTCGCAGGTACATATTATTATGTTATTTGAATACTACCATTTCATGGAACATGAGTAGTATTGCTAATGCCGAACAAATTGAACATTGAATACTATCTGAAGGTTAATTGAGGAGGGTGTACATTCATTATTCCAGATTTTTTTGGGATTTTCTCTCCTCGTCTCAATAAAATAAAAATATGAATACTATTCCAATATAATACGTGTAGTGAGGACAAATCAGATGATTTGCCCCAAAATGTCACTGCGTTGAAAGAATTTTCCTATCAGATTGCCTGAAAGAAAAATTCACTAGCTCGTCAGTGACAATTTGTATTGAGAAAGGTTTGGAGAAGAGAAATAAAGGTATATAGAAAAAATATCAAATTTCTACTTATCTTTGGACGTTTCGGGACCAAATCAGCTCCCGTTTTCAACATAAAAAAAGGATATTTTTGTATTGCAAATTCGTATTTGTCCTGACACTTTTGAGTTCTCAGTGACAATTGATGACGTTGGCATTCAAATGAGTAACAGGATGTTTTCATTAATTAATCTTGAATGCACCATTTTCATTTTCAGATTTCAGTAGTGAATACCATGTTCTATCTAAATGAACCGAACAGAAAGCAATGCTATTGTCTCCGTTCACAAGAATGGGAACAGATTTTTTTATTTTTCTCTTCTGGTTGTTATCTTCTTTTTCAATGATTTTAATATCATTTCACTCTGCCATATGTTGTCCATCTTCAGTAAGGATATGTTCAGCTAGTTTCGTTTTGTCGATGTGTCTTTTCTTTATATTGAATTCATGTTCCTTACTGTATATGGACAACATATGGCAGAGTGGAATAATATTTAAATCATTGGAAAAGAAGATAACAACCAGAAGAGAAAAATGAAGGAATCTGCTTGCATTCTTCTGAACGGAGACAATAGCATTGCTTCCTGTTCGGTTGATATATCATATATCATATATACATGGTATTCACTACTGAAATCTGAAAATGAAAATGGTAAATTCAAGACTAATTAATGAAAATTAATGTAACTCATTTGATTGCCAACGTCATCAATTGTTTTGAGAACTAAAAAGTGTCAGGACAAATACGAATATATATATATATACTGTCGACTTTAGGCTTGAAGCTCTTCGCTGCTGGTCAAGCATTAGTAGGGTTAAATCATTAGAAGGTCTTCTTATTGAAGAGCTGGACTGTTCGAAATAAACCGGCAAACGACCTTGCAACAATGATGCGTTGAATGAAATGAACAGACTGAAAAACCTGGCCAGCGATAACTAAAAATTTTAAAATAAATCAAAAGTAAAAATGAAATTTAATAAGAAGCTTTTATCTAAACGCTCTGAAAAGAAAAAAATAAAATGTTCCTTTATAATTTCAACTATCAACTTATAACCTCATAAAAGCTTGTCGCGATGATCAATATTTAATTACATTGACATTTTAAGAATTTGAACAGCAGATTTCACAAAATTAAATTAGTACTAGTTTATTCACACAAATAAATCGCGCTACAAGCTTTTATCTGATGGCATGTCATAATGACAACGTTATGTCACTCAATTTTGATGACATAAGGAAGCTCATTATGGGACTAAGTACCATAATGAATTCATTATGGTAATGAAATTCTATAAGGAAAACATGTAATGGTTTGATCAAAAAAGTTTATTCAAAATGCATAACTATGTACAAAACTATTTATTATAAATGGTAAAAGAACAATTACTACAATTTGTAATATTAATATAATGGCAAAGCACAGCTCACCCACCTACTAATATTTGAAACTACACAATACTTACTCGCCTTTAAAAATAGTTGTCATTGTGACATGTCGAAAATGCAGTTTTTAATTTTTCGAAAATGTATTGATATAAATGCCATCAGATAAAATTTTGTATGTAATACGAATCATAAACAATCATTATGGCACACGCCGTGTTATCGGACTCGGCTACGCCTCGCCCGATAACATTCACGACTTGTACCATGATGATCGTCTTTAAGATCCTTATTACATAAATAACTATTATGATCATATAAATTGTGTATAATGAGCAGGTTATAAGTTGATAGTTAAAATTATAAAGGAGCATTTTATTTTAACCTTTTTAGAGCGTTTGAAGCTTTTTATTGAATTTTTTTAAATTTTTTATGTCACTAAAAAATGTCCCAAACTTTTAGGGGTGGTTTCCTGGACAGTGACATACCCGGTGGACGCTATAAAAAGCAGGATCCAAGTCGACGGCATAACTTCGACTAAATACGCAGGCGCGTACGACTGCCTCAAAAAAACAGTGAAAAGCAGCGGATTGACGTCCCTTTTCCGAGGTTTGACGCCGACGCTGGTGAGAGCGTTCCCTGTCAACGCCGTCACTTTCGCCGTCGTCACGTGGACAGTCAGGATCCTCCAAGGGGACGCTTTGGGGAAGTTCGGGGGGAACGAATTTGGGTGGTCGGAATTTCTGGGGAGACTGAGTGTATCTGAGAAGTCACTCGTTTGTGGAAGGGAAGAGTTCATTTGATAAAGCTTTAACTGATGATTGGTTGTTTTATTTTTATGCCTCCATAATTAATTGATCCAACTGAAAGATAATCTATGGTAGAAGTCCATGGTATTCAAAATGGAGTGAATAAATTCATACGTAAGACACACTAAGTCATCTCCACAAATTAATTATCAGAATTATCAGTATCTGAACATTTTTTTTCATGTTCTGGTTCTCACGAAAAGAGATATCCTGTAATGTTCAGAGAACATCGTGAGAACAAAGGGAAATAAGGTAGAAATTGGTGTTCTTCTTGAATTTCTGGAGGTTATATGCCTCGGGGAACACCTCCCTTGGCAATGTGTTCCAGAGCCTCGCTATTTTTTGGATAAACGAGTCTTTGGAAAGAGATGTTCTGCAGGTCTCCAAAGTGACCACGAAGGGGTGCGAAGCCTCAACTCGACGGGTTGATCTCGCGGGGACTGCCAAGGGAGGAACAATTGTTGATATTTCAGAAGAGCATCGTCCATGAAGATATCTATAAAATAGAGCCAGATCGCCAAATTTCCTACGGTGTTCCAGAGAAGTGTGTGAGTTTGTGAGCGAGGCATCACCCACGAGACGAATTGCCCTTTCTTGGACAGAATCTAACAGTTTCAGGGTATATTTGGGTGCTGCACTTCAAATATGGGAACAGTATTCCAGGACAGGTCGTATCTGTGCCTTATATATCATAAGCAGCTGACTGCAAGTGAAATAGGTCCTGGCCCGAAACAGGAAACCAAGTTTTTGGGATTTTTAATTACTTGGGATTCGATTTTCAATTACTTGGATGACCAAGTGTTGGTACCCTTCATAAAGCCCTTTGGACCATGGGCAGTTTGCCCTCTATTGATTGTTGAAAATGACAATTTATATCGAATAATATTATATTGTTGCCCCCTTACTTTCATTACCACAAATTGTCCTCAAATGTTTCTGCTGATGATGTACTATTGATAGTATGAAACATGTTCAGATACTGATAATTCTGATAATAAATTTGTGAAGATGACTCAATGTGTCTTGCGTATCAATTGAAAGATATTTGAATGATTGAATTTCCAGAAAATTCCTGGGATATACACCTGGTGGTGGTCAGATAACGTGCAATGTCTATTCTAGAGAAAGGAAAACACAGTTTTCTCTGATAGTTCGTTTCCATCTTGGACCAAAACTCGGAAGTTGTCTGCAGAATATTGACAGTAATAGGTTCCTAAATCAACATTTTATAAGAATTCCTCATAAGAATTAATTGAATCGAGAGCAATAACTTGCCCACTGAACATGATACATAACAAAGATATTTTTCAGATGTTACTTTTGTGATATTGTTGAAATAACATTGCGCTAATGTCCTTCTGAAATATCCAACATAACATAATGAAGTTAAACGTTTATGAGACGTTGCATCAATATTGAAATCAATATTATTATATAATATTGTAATACGTTAATTTTAGGTTTCTCAGTACCTATATCTCAGAAAGAGTTTTTATGTTATTTGTGCAACGTTTTTGTTTCACCACCTCAACGTAGAGCTCACATGTATACAAGGGGATAATATTTTTTCCACACTGCAAAGTAACCTTGTCAACTGTCAAAAGTCAACTCAGTTCCATTCTGACCATTTTGTTTGTTGTTTATTATGGTGAACAGGTCAATCAGTGTGATCTGTGATCAGCAATTATTCGTAGTTATCAAAATAAGATGAGAACTAAACAAGTCTTGGACTGAAACAACTTCGAATGAAAACATGAATTGCTCATGCTGCTGAAATATATAGAAATATCCCAGTGCCAAAGCAATAATTAAATGAGATACAAATACAATCAATCTGTCTGTATTCCATAATATGCGAAAAATTAGGAGGAATTCGTACCTAAATACGGATTGTTTTCATATTTCACTAATTACAAAAACAAGTACCTACTAACTATAGAATTTTTTAGATTTTTCTCCTGGTTTCTGGATTTATGAAGCAGAATAAATAAAATGATATAGGTACTTGAAAATACAGTAGTTATGTATAGTCTTTCAGGAGTATGGTAAGATCAATTCATTAACACAGTGTATATATTCAGGGATACATCAACTTCTCTGTCTTTTCTAAAGATCATTCAGATGATTCTCTTGTTAATTTCAGGAAAGATAGACATGACCAAAATACTCCTAGAGAATTATTAGAATGTTAATATACAATATTGTGCAGATGTTTTGAGTAACATTAAATATAAGTTATGAAGTAACATTAAACATTTGTAATAGTTGAAAGAGGAACAAAGGCCCATTGCCGCAACGTATCCGTGACATTAAGCATCTCTCTGAATAACATCACAAAGTAACAATGTAATATTACATTTATGTTTAAGTTATGTTTCCATGTTTAGTGGGTGCATGCTTTGGAATCGGAGATATTTTCACTCGATGAATAGTGTTAACACAACTGAAGATCAAGATATCATAAATCATGTAATTCAAGCACATTTATTAGCTTGCCATGGAGCATTATGATGCATCAACTACATTGTACTCCAGAGAAAAAGTGCGACAGTCGTCTTGTAAATAAATGTTCTTTCTGTGCTAATACATACGACACTACGTCATCCTGAAAGCATGAATATGCTGAACTGAATTATTCTTCCAACCCCTATCTTGGGAGAGATTTCTATGAAAATGTGGAAAACGAAAACGCTCGATTGATAATGATGGCGCCCTGAGGAATATGCATGTCTGATGGGAAAGAACATTTACATATTTTCACACTAGGTAAATGAACTACCTCAGTATTATCAATTTTTTGTCGGGAATTCGAAAGCATACCCAAGAAGAATAAGAAACCGACTGTAATTCTATTCACTCATAGTTATTGGTCCAATTTTCAACCTAGATGCTTTTCACTGGAATTTGATCAAGCATCCTTTACATGAAGTGTGAAAGTTTCACAAGGTATCTTTGGGTGATGGTAAAAGACGAACTACACTTTTTCCAATTGTAATTCAGGTAGCTTCAATTGTAATTCAGATTAATTATTTCAAATTCAGCAAATATCGATTCTTGCAATTCAGATTAGTCAAGTGAAATTCAGAAAACTTCAACTGTATAAGAGTTCGGACACAGAAATGACAACTGTTAGTGTTTTTGAATGTTTAGATTTATCAAGTTACACACCTTGCATGCAAGGGGTGCTTCCGTAAAAAGTGCGACGAAATTTAATTTTTCAGAACTGAAAATTTTCTAGGAAAAATATGGATAGTTAGAGAATTGGGCGTCCTGATTCCGAATCTGAAGTTATTTTCGACCTATTTTGACTCCTGATATCATTTTCCAGAAATTGGGGTGGTTCCATGGCTGTTGGCGAGCAGTGTATATCACTGAAGATGACCCCACTTGGTCATAGAGTGCATTTTTGGTATATCTCTCGCTCCACCAAATTTCGGGATCCCTACCCAACGATTACGTAAGATACAGTGTTGTTTCCATTAGAAGTGGGTCACACTGTATATCATTTCGTTATCAGATGCTGACGGTCGGAATTTGCAACCGGTTCTTGGACTATACGTTCTCCTGTTGAGTAACCGAAAAACAAAAATGTCGCAAACGTCATCTCACCTGTCCTTCAAATTTGACTTTTCATCTCATCTTCATTTATAGTTAACACCATACCAAATTACCTGTGAAAATTTCTTTTTTTTTTTCAAAAACACCCCTGCAAAGTGGCGGTCAAAAATGAAATGGGCGAGTCAACCAACATTGTGGGAAAGCCCGTGGAAGTAGGATCGGGAAGATGCATGAGCATCCAAGCCATGCAAGCCCTTTTCGAGCTGAAAGAGAACAATCAGCTTTGTGACGCTACTATTGTGCTTGACGATGGTGCTGAAATTCCAGTGCATAGAGCAATTCTTTGCGCGTGCAGCTCTTATTTCAGGTAAATTAAAACGATTGAGGTAATATTTTCCATCTGTCATAATCTGAAGAGAAAATAAACATGACTCAAGAAATCCAAGTCCATATACTACCCAAACACTGAACAGTTCAAGCAGAGTTATGGATCGTTAGTTATTATGTCTCAGGGAGATATGCAGGAAGACAATCATTAACAATATGTTGAAATGAATCAGGTGCAGTACACGGTAAAACCGAAAAGTGCTTTTCGCTTTGATTATTCGAACACTCTGTGGAATAATTATTGTACAACAAAATTGAATGTCATTTTTCGAAGCAATGTGCGCATTACAAAGCTCTGAGTGTGCTATGCATGGTATTTGATATAGGTAATATGCTCTCAATCTGAACTAACTGCAATATTTCACTGCTACGGAATAGTCCAATGAAAAATCAAGTAGTCGGTTTGTCTGAAGTTTCATATCTTCTTGGGGGTGCTGAATCTGAATCTGAAGTTTGCAAACAATATTTCCTGGAGTGTTCCGAGATATTCGCAAAAAACAACGGAATTTTCGCCCTTTCATCAGTTTTTTGCCCGTAACTTGAAAACTAGCGGAAAGACTGCTCCATAATAAGTTGAAGTAGATGAAATTTTCTATATATAATTGTTCTTGCTCATGGATGTAATGCCTCAGGAGGTAGAGCAAGTTAAAAATAGATCAAATTTGCGTATTTTGCAAAAAATAGTGTTCTTCATCGGTTCTCGTATCTACGCATTCAAAGAAGGAACAAACTACTCTGCCTGATGTGGAGGAGTCCTGGCCAAGTAAGTTAATGCTTTCATCAGCGTGTAACTCGATTCTTGATTTGTCACAGTACTAGCGCTTATATTTACACCAACTAGATAGAATAATGTTTTTTACACTTGCCCCATGTTATTCGTTAGCGGAGGAAAAACATCCAAGTTTCTCTCATATACCACCAGATAGAGGATGAGAGTACCCAGAACCAGAACCTTCAGGGTACCAGACCCCAGCCAAATGACCATGTAGCTACGATTAGATTGTAGATTGTAAGGATCACCCTCATTCAATTGTCTTCTATAACGCTAGACTCCTGATAGTACCTGGGATTTTCTTGACGGTTACATATTTCACTTCTGCAGGCGTCAGCTAGACATGTTTCAGGTGATTCAGCATCTAGCGGACTAAAAAATTACATGCATATTGACTGATTGATTGATTCATAGCAGAATGACCAGTCAGGTTTCGAAGCCCAAAACACTGCAGCCTTTGGGCCTACTGTATTCCTGATCATGCTGTTGACTCAGGTGAATAGGTTCGCTACCTTGATGAGGTTTAGCAGCCTCTTCACTAAATCTTCCGTTGAAAGAACCTCATGTGAGTTTAGTGCTCCCAGAAAGTTGTATCTCCAATGCACTAGTGCCTTGCACTCCGATATTACATTGCATAGTCTGCATATGAGTTCGTCTGTATCAATGCCCATTTGATGCATGCTTCCTCAAGGGGCAGTGACCAGCTATTAGTCCCGTCACTTGTCTAATCTGACTTCTTTTCAGGCTCAGAATGTCGTTAGTTTTAGAAAGTGTTTTGAACCATCCGTTTGCTGTATCTTTGTCCTGGAACGTTGTTCCAGTATGCCTGATGTCTTTCTTGCGTCCACCTTACCAGCCAGCAGCGTATTGAGGTTTTGGTGATTCCGAACACAGGTTCCGGTCCAATAACCAATGCCGCAGAACGTTGCCTAGCAAGAGCGTCAACTGCTTCATTGCCCTCAATTCCTTTGATCTGATTTTATTTCATGTTGAATATTAGATGTCCGCCTGACTATCTGAGCTCATGAGGATTTGTTTACCTCTGTATCCTCTCGCGATATTCTCTATCTCTGCCTCAATAGCACAGATTCGATCTGTCCTGGAATACTGTTCCCATATTTGGAGTGCAGCACCCAAACATTCCCTGAAACTGTTGGATTCTGTCTTAAAAAGGGCAATTCGTCTCGTGGGTGATGCCTCGCTCACAAACCCACTCACTTCTTTGGAACACCGTAGAAAAGTTGGCGATCTGGCTCTATTTTATAGATATTTTCATGGACGATGCTCTTCTGAAATATCAACAATTGTTCCTCCCTTGGCAGTTCCCGCGAGATTAACCCGTCGAGTTGAGGCTTCGCACCCCTTCGTGGTCACTTTGGAGACTTGCAGAACATCTCTTTCCAAAGACTCGTTCATCCAACGAACAGCGAGGCTCTGGAACATATTGTCAAGGGAGGTGTTTCCTGAGGCATATAACCTCCAGAAATTCAAGAAGAACACCTATCCCTACCTTATTTCCTTTGGTTCTAACGACGCTTAGCGGAGTTCGGACAGCAATCGCGTGTGGAAAAGTCACTTTAAGCACGTTTTAGATACACTTTTTTTTTACTTTTTTTTGCGTGCGGAAAAAACCAAGAGTTCACATAAAGAATAATTATTATTCAAATGTCAGTATACTCCCAAGAAACCAATGAATTTACTTTTCCGAACTAGTGCGGAAAAGTGGACATTTCTTCACGCTAGTACAAAAAATACACTCCGTTATCGGCTATACAGAACAGCTTGTTGATCTATTCAAATAAAGTTGTTTGAGATTGTAGCAGAACAGCTTTCAGTTCCACTGAACATTCTAATTGCAGGTGCTATAATATCCAATGAATTTGTTGTCTCCAAGGTTGAATTTTCAGAGAGAGAAAACAGAGATAATATGGAATCGTGTGAATCAGGGCGGAATACTTTATAATGATGTATTGTTCTGAATATGAAAACTCAGTCGATATCCAATTCCCAATTATTGATACTTCTGACTTGCAATTTCTTATAAATCCGATACTTATTCATAATTGATAGAAGTTATGTCTCTGAGGAGTACTCGAAAATCTGATTCAGTTCTCTAAAACAAAATCCTCATTATTCAATTCATTATAAAGGAACTATCTTCTTCAGTGATATTATATTTCAATACTTCATAGTGACGCAGCAAACATTGGAAATATAATTTTATAGCCTAGGATTTACATTTTTCTTCCATCAAATCTATATGTTCCTTTATTCCAGAGCTTTATTCACAACGACATTACACAACAGAGAAAAAAACAAAGTGCAATTACCAGGAGTCACATCGGAAATGTTGCAGATACTTCTGGTCTACATCTACTTACGAAAATTGGATATAAACCAGGACAATGTGTACTCTTTACTGATAACCGCAGACTATCTCAGCATATTGGGTGTATTGGACCTTTGCTGCAAGTTTTTAGAAAATAACTTGAACTCGAAAAATTGCATCGGTGTTTTGATTTTTGCCAGAAATCATTTTTGCAGAGAACTAGGTAAGTCATCACTAATAAACGAATTCTTGGCACATGTATTAATGAAATTAATGAGACTATTGTGGAATATACGTCAAATGTTCTAGTACATATTTTCAATTCATGTTTATTAACAGGTATTTTTCCATAATCTCCGAAAGAATCATTTGTTACTTCAATACATAAGGGGGAAGGATAAAAGATATTGCGATAATTATCGACCAATGTCATTAATTGATAATATTGCAAAAATTCTGGAAAAGTCCATCGAAATCAGATTCACAGTTTTTTTGGAAAAACATTATTTTCGAAACAATTCGGATTCATAGAAAAAATTGGAACAGAAGATGCAATATTCAACGTTACTGAATTAATCCTTAGATAATAAACGAAAAACTATTGGAATATTTTCAGATTTGAAGAAAGCATTTGATACTGTTTCACATGATAAATTATTATCAAAATTGGAACGGCTTGGTATCAGAGGAATATGCTTGACAATTTTCGAAAGTTAAGTTTATCTGAAAGGGAACAAAATGTTCAAATCGAGCAAGTTCGAAGTAACACAAGAATTATACAATGTGGTGTCCCTCAAGGGACAGTTTTAGGACCTATCCTATTTTTAATTTACATTTATGATATATTGAAAACACAGATGAACGGAAATTTATTTTCTTATGCTGACGATACAGTGTATGTAGGTAGTGGAAATACTTATAAAGAAACAGTATCAAATGCTGAATTTGATTTATCAATAATGAAAAACAATCTTGATAATGATTTACTGACTCTAAATTTGAAAAAAATCGAATTCTATGACATTCACATTTAATGAGAATATGTAACCAAAAAGAATTGATGAATTGAAAATGAGAAGCAATGTAATTGTACCGAATATATTACAAAATTTGATGTAGTAAAGTATTTGGGAATTTACTTAGATTGCAAGCTCAAATGGCATACACAAATTGATGAATTGGTACAAAAACTATGAATTCAAGTTACTGAGAAACATTGTCAGTCGGAATTTGATTATCAGTTTCTATTATAGTCTTTTTCAATCTATTCTTGCTTAATATAGCATAATAGGCTGGGGAGTTCTATATAAACAAGCGTTGAAACCACTTCTTGTATCAATTCAAAAATATACCTTGGAAATTATCTTCAAAAAACCTTTTGATTATTCTTCCAGAATCCTCTTTGAACATTATAACATTCTTTCTGTTGATCAATTGTTTTATAAAACATCAACAATATACATAAGAAAACATTAACAAAACTATAATCATGAAAAACATAAATAATAATAATAATAATAATAATAATACGTTTATTATTCCCCAAAATGAAATTACATTAGATAGGCATAATACAAAATAAGTATTCATCTGGTGAGTAAAGGGCCAGAGTTCAGTTTTCATTCTACTAGGTAAAACGAAACTGTTCTTCCAATCTGGCCGTGCCTAAATCTACATCTAACTCTACAATATACTCGAAAACAACAGCAACAAAAAAAAATCAATCAATATAGGAGGAGATGAGTGAATAAGAAACAGGAAAAAAGAAAGAAAGTAAATATGACACCAAAATTGATGGTTGGATATCAACTGAGAAATCCTCTTCAACTTTAATGCAACAACATGCCATTCATATATAGGTACAAAAAATGTACAATAAATTGCCTCCTCGTTTAAAAAAAAATCAGTTTTTTTTGGGTAAAGAAAAAAATTAGATCGTGTTTGATTGAGAATTCAGAAATGCAACATATCATGTGTTTTGTAATTATATTCAGATAATATAAATATATATTATGTTAATTGTGCTCAATGAGAAAATGAACTTTAGTTAGTCAGTGGAAGGAGGAAAATATTACATGATCAAAGACAAGTTTTCGACTTTTTCGATCATGTTTATATCATAAAAAAATGTATATTATTATCAATATAGTACGCTGATATGTATGCTATTTCATAAATGAATGAATAAATGAAAAAAATAAAAAAAATTATATTTTCGACAGGAATGAACTCCTGGAAGTACATAATGAAAAACTTCACCCAGATAGCCTCAGAAAGCGACGAGATACTCACGCTGTCCCTCTCAGAGATCCAGGAGATCATCAACTCTGACGACTTGAACGTCAAAAGCGAGGAAACCGTTTGGGAAACCATCCTCAGATGGATCGACCATGACACAGAGGCTAGAAAGAAGCATATCGTTTCTTTGATGAGGTGCATCAGGCTGGGTCTGCTAGACACTCAGTTTTTCCTGGAAAGGGTGAAGGAACACGCCTACGTCTCTGGATGCGAAGAAAGCCGTCCTATGATAATCGAAACGCTGAAGTTTTTATACGATCTGGAAATGATAACACACAGGTATATTCACAGAGTTATTCATCAAGAAGGCCCACCTCTATGTTTACCTTATATTTTTATTTTTGGGGAGGGACAATTCTTGGGTTTTGGATTCAGTAAATTACAGAAATAAACAGTATATCTTTTATTTTTGCTTCATCATCACCACTCTTTTGACCCTAGTGAAATAATTCTCGTGTGTTGGCTTCTACAGATATCGTAGTAGCCATGAATGAGGATATATTTGCAGTTGTTTGTAGCTTCATTATCGAATACATCTCCAAACTGATGGAATGGTCACCGATGAATCAGACAAAAAATATTGTTTTTCTACGCTCAAAAGAGTGGTGATTAAGAAGTGGAAGGGTAGTCGTT